CTTGCTGGACAGTTTCTTATTACAGCGTTCCTGTGTGCAGGCTCATCCACCGCTACCGTTTCCACATACCTCAGAGCAAATTACAAGCCACATGCCCGCACCAGCTACTTCAGTGTGGCCCATCAAGGCCATAGGCCACAATCTACTGCCTGGATGTGGGTTGTGCTTGCCTTGTGGAACATTACAAACATATTGACTCCATAGCTTTTAAGCGTTAAGGCCTTGAGAGTGTTGAAGGTTTAATAAGAAGCAGTATGTCATATCGATGGAAATAAGGGCAATTAAAAATATAAAACCAGTGATGCTTTCCCTTTTTATAATAGCATAATTAGTTCTTAGGGGAAAAATTCATTTTTGCAACATGTGAAACCTACTTTGACAGCACTCAGCCCAATATAAAGAAGAGATGGGAAAGGAAAATGGTTAAGTGTGTGCTTAGAGAAACAGTACCAATGTTGGAGACTAATGCAGGAACACTAGGACTGCGCTGAGAACTTACGAGCTGAGCTTGGCAAGCAGCTTTATCTAAGCCTACTGCAAACTAAACAGCATCAGTAAGAGCTATGCTTACCCCTCAGCAAACCCCTCAGCTACAGCTACCTGTATTAAGGACTAGGGAGCATAATTAAAACTGAAGTATGTGACAGAAATAGCTCTACAGATCAATGAGGGAATGACAGGTTCTTTGGTTCATGTACTGAGACATCTAGTCAAAAACTTGGGAAAAGGCTGGGAGTGCAGTGCAGGGCTAGAACACGGGGGTCCTGTGCTAAATCCCCAGCACTAGAAAACAACAAAACAAACCATGGGAAATAAAGTTGGGTCACTACTTCATTTACATTAAATTTAATTTCTTTTCTTTTTTGCTTTAGCAGGTTTTTTGTTTGTTTGTTTTCTTTTCTTTTGGAGACAAAGTCAAACTACATTGCCCAGGCTGGTCACAAACTCATAGTAATCCTCTTGCCTCACCTCCCAAGTTCAAAATTATAGACATGTGCCATCACTCTCAGCTTCAAAATTGATTTCTGATGGGTCATTTTAAATGTGAAAATGTAAATATAATAAAAATTAAGAGTTACAGAATAATAAAGATTATTCCAATATGACACAAAAATCAAAATAATGAAATTTTAAAAATGTGTGTTTGTGTGAGTGTGTGTGTGTGTATGTGTGTATGTGCACGCGTGTGTGTGAATGTGGAGGCTAGAGATCAACATCTGGTATCTTCCTCAGTGTTCTCTACCATATACTTCTAGACAGATTCTCTCATGAACCTGGAGCTTACTGATTTAGCAAGACTGACTGGCCACAAAGCCATAGAGATCCTCCTGTCTCTGTCTCCCAAACACCTGGGTTAGAGGCATGTTTCACTGTATCCGTCTTTGTTTATCTGAGAGCTAAGGATCTGAACTTCATGTTTGGGAAGCACTTTGCCAGCTGAGCCCTCTCTTCAGTTTATAAAATGAAAATTTTATGTAGGAAAATCTTACCAAAGGATAAATTTAGAAAAATTATTTGCAATTCAGATCTCAAGTGAAGAATCTTTCATAATTCAATAAGCTCTTCTGCAAATAAGAAAATTACCAACAATTCAATAGAAAAAAAGAACAAAATACATGAATAGAAAATTTTCAGGAAAAAAAAAGAAATACAACAGCTCTTAATCACATAAACAAATGTTCAATCATGTCCATAAGAACAATACTGGATCAGACCTGCAGTTCAGTGGTAGCACTTGCTTACCATTGTGAGACCCTGGGTCCAATCCTCAATGCTACAAAAACAAAGTCAAAATCAATTAAAATTAACATGCATATCATGTTTACCTATAAAATGGCAGTTTCAAAAGTGTGACAACAGTTCATTCATTGATGGAGAGTTGTACAGTGGTAAAGATTTCATGGAAAATTCTGGCACTATTTGGCACAAAGTTGCAATGTGAAGATTTAGGCTTAGTAATTTCATCTCTACTGATCCTTCATATATCTTGAATATGTATAAAGTAATGTACACATGAAGTTAAGCATTGTTCTGTTGTTTAAAAGAGCAAAGACAGAAAACAATCTTGATCGCCTATTACCATACCTTGTGTTCTCATTTCCTTTCTGTTGTTGTGATAAAACACTAATCTAGACCAATTGAACAGAGGAAAGGATTATTTGGCCTACACATCCATGTCATAGTACATCACTGAGAGAGGCCCACAGAGGGACAAAAAAGCAGGGCTACATACTATTCCATGCGACATTGTCCCCCACCGAGGAACTCTCTTCACAGCCCAAGAAGTACAGAAGGAACCACAGAAGATGCTGATTACTGACTAGCTCAAAGGTTCATGACTGGCTAGCTTTATTATATAGCTGAGGACCCCGTACCCAGGGAATCATCCTACCCACAGTGGGTCAGGACCTTCTACACCAATTAACAATCAAGAAAATTCCACACAGATATGTCTGCAGATCTGACCTAGGCAATCCCTCCATTGAGACTTTCCTGGCTCAGGTGATTCTAGGCATGTCAAGCTGACAGTTAAAGCCATCTAGGACACCCTGTTAAGTGGATGTTTCAAAATGAGATAATTACTTATGTTAACATATTGTAGTATCTCTGAGCTATATGGTTACCTGGAAAAACAGTATAGTGTCCTATGATTTTTGTTAATAATGGTGAACTAATCACATGATAGAGACAAGCAGACTTTTTATGTTCAAAACATTTCTGGAAAATAGTCAAAATATAATGGTAGTATTTGCTTCCTTGGAGATGACCTAACAGTTACAGGCTGGGGTGGGATAACATTTCTACCGTAATGGGTTTTAATATCTCCTGAATTTTTTTATCATGAATATGTATTAGTCAATCAAATTAAATTGAATCACATAGTCCATTCCCCACTCAAAAGAAATCTCGTTTTTCTCTGCTTCACCTTTTTACTTGATCTTTGGTCCACATCCCTGCACATTCATGTAACCAACAAGAAATAATGAATTCCTCCAGTGTTACCACTCTGGCCCCACCAGGTTTCCTCATCAGCCTTTGAAGTGTTTGAAAGATAATGAAAACCCTTTCCCTGGAAGGAGGTCTGGCCACCTTTGAACAAGACCCTACAAACCTCTTTCACTCAATCCTAGGATTCCACCTTGAAACCTGTCCTTACTTTTAGCGGAAAAGAAGGAGAGAAGAAAAGAGAAAGTAAATAGAAGTATAAACCTGACTCCATCACAGTGCTATCAAGGAGAACCCCTTGGAGAATTCAAATCTGTAAGAAGCAAGGGAGGATATTTTCTAAGATCTTACAGGACCTAGTTACCCTGTAATGATCATGCCACTAATACAGCAATTGGCACATCTTGCCTAGCAGGTCAGTATTACACTAATGTGTTTTTTGTTTTTTGTTTTTTGTTTTTTTTTTATCGGCTTTGAAGCCTGCTCCACAGGTGAGAATTTCATGTCTGGTGCTGTAATCTAGTCAAAAGCCCATGGCTAGGGAGGTCATGGGCCCTAGAGTAGAACCTGCTATTGTTATTTTGCTAAGCAGTCATACTGACAAATTGCCTTCTAAAGGTTTATGCTATACCTGGGCTGCTCTCAACCTTGGTCAGAGAAGCTTCTTTTTACAGTGTCAACTGTAGTCAGTGGAGAGGTGTAAAACTGATCAAAGTGCTGAGAACAAGACACTGAATGTTCAGCTCTAAATAGCACACCTATATTAACCCCACCACCACCAAGACTCAGGGACCATCACCCAAAAGGAGGCAGAAAGAATTTAAGAGTTAGATGCTGTGTGGTGGTACATGGCTTTAATCTAGCACTCAGGAGGCAGAGGCAGGCATAGCTCTGTGAATTTGATGCCAGCCTGGTCTACATGGTAAGTTCCAGGTCAGCCAGGGCTACAGAATGAGACCCTGTCTCAAGAAACAAAACACATAAACAAAACAAAAAGCAAAGAATGTAAGAGCTAAAGGATGGGGAGGAGGGCTTCGAATGCTGCCTTCTGGACGTGGTATGGCTATGGCAATCATGAGCTCACCCATTGTGGTTACCTGCACAAGACCAAGACAAGATCAAGCCAGTCAAAATTTCAACACAGGTAAGGTAAAAGATCTCCAGGCCTCAACCCTTACTAAGGAGCCATAGTCAGTGCATAGATGCTGGGGGAGGGAGAATCATTCTTTTTAGAGGCTGTGGCCACTGGTGGGTTTCCCATGCTCCAGTGGATGGTACCACACCCCTGCATTAGCTAACTTACCAAAAAAAAGAGAGAAAAAAGAGAGAGAAAGAAAAGAAAAGATGAAGTTGGGAGAGAACATGTTGAGGGGGACATGGAGGAGGAAATGGGAGTAGATGGGACCATATTTCATTGTATACATGTATGAAATTCTGAAAATAAAGAGAAAATTTTAAGGACCTTACATGATCTAAACAAAGAACTATACTAGAAGGAGACTGACAGTCATGAAGTCAGATTTCTGCTGTGGCTGTTCACAGCTGGTTTGCTGGGAAGGCACTGCAATTGCAAACATTAAGGAAGAAGACAGGGCATCCATATTCCCTAGCTAATTCAGTTGATTCTATCGCAGCACACATATCCTAAGCACTTCCCTGAGGCAAGGTTGACGGACATTTTTATTAGCAATAATCTCTGCCTTCCTCTGATTATCTGGAGATTTAAGACCACATAATCACCCTCCACGTCAGAGGGAGGAGAGGGAGGGAGACGTACTGGTTAAGAGGCCCCAAATCCCTCCTAACACTCACTTCTTCCCTATCAGCAAGATTAGAGTACTCAAGGCTCTCTGCTGCTCAGATCTGGCAAGCTAGCCTGGGCCTCCCAGGCCAGAAGGAAAAGCAGCTCTAATGGCAATGTCTGGGGCCAGAGGCAAGCTGGCCTCTCTGAGATGCTGCAGGTCACGTGATCTGTCCTCTTTTTGGCAGTGAGCAGTCCAGGGGTCCTAGACAGTCAGGAGAGACAAGCAAGCAGCAGTCTGTGTCCCACAGCCATGCTAAAACAGAGCAGGAAGAGGAGCGGGTTCTGGGGCTACAAGCCCTGGAGCACACCAGACAGAGAGGAGGTGCCTGGCACCTGGAGCAGCCAACACCACAGGAGCATCTGCTCCATAGGATCCCGCGGCTCCCAGGCCAACATTACAGCCTGGATCGAAGGCAACTACAACTACTACATTGAGGAGGACGAGGATGGTGGGGAGGAGGGAGAAGAGTGGAAGGATGATTTTGCCGAGGAGGACCAGCAGCCGGAGGAGGTCACTGCAGCCCCACTGGATGGTTACACTGACACTGCAACCCAGCTGTCCACGCTGAAGGTGAATGTGGGCGGCCACAGCTACCAGCTGGACTACTGCGAGGTGGCCAACTACCCCAAAACGCGCCTGGGCCGCCTGGCCACCTCCACTAGTCGCAGCCGCCAGCTGGGCCTGTACGATGACTACGAGGCACAGAGTGATGAGTATTTCTTTGACCGTGACCCTGTGGTCTTCCAGCTCATCTATAACTTCTACACGTCCGGGGTGCTTCTGGTGCTTGATGGGCTGTGTCCCCACTGCTTCTTGGAGGAGCTGGACTACTGGGGCGTGCGGCTCAAGTACACACCCCGCTGCTGTGGCATCTGCTTCGAGGAGCAAAGGGATGAGCTGAACGAGCAGCTCAAGATCCAGCGCGAGCTGCGTGCACAGGCACAGGCAGAGGAGGCCGAGGAGCTCTTCCAGGACATGCGCTTCTACCGGCCGCAGCGCAGACGCCTCTGGAACCTCATGGAAAAGCCCTTTTCCTCGGTGGCCGCCAAGGCCATGGGGGTGGCCTCCAATCTCTTTGTGCTCATCTCCGTGGTGGCCCTGGCGCTCGACACGGTGGAGGAGATGCACCACGAGGCGGAGCAGGTCGGTGGGGACCCGGGGCCCATCCTGGAGCACGTGGAGATGCTGAGCATGGCCTTCTTCACGCTCGAGTTCTTGCTGCGCCTGGCCTCCACCCCTAACCTACTACGCTTCGCTCGCAGCGCCCTCAACCTAGTGGACCTGGTGGCTATTCTGCCCTTCTATCTGCAGCTGCTGCTTGAGTGCTTCACAAGTGAAGACCAGAAGCATGGCAAGGGCTCCCGGATGGAGCACGACCTGGAGACCGTGGGCCGCGTGGGCAAGGTGGGCCAGGTGCTGCGTATCATGCGCTTCATGCGCATCTTCCGCATCCTCAAACTGGCGCGCCACTCCACCGGGCTGCGGGCGTTTGGCTTCACGCTTTGCCAGTGCTACCACGAGGTGGGCTGCCTGATGCTCTTCATCACGATGGCCATCTTTTCCTTCTCCGCAGCGGTCTACTCTGTGGAGCACGACGTACCTGGCACCAACTTCACCAGCATCCTTCATGCCTGGTGGTGGGCCACGGTGAGTACCTTTGAGCTTTTCCATCCTTTCCCCCACCCAGCAGACTCTGTTCCTCCCACTCCCTGGTCATTCCTCGTCAGTCTTGTTCACTCATCCTTCCTCGGTCTTGAGAAAGGACCTCCATCCCATTGTCTCCAATTAACAAATTGTGGGGGGTGTGACAAAGTAGGAAAGACATCAAGACTAGTTCACTAAGTCACCAACTTTGACTTGGTCGTGAGATCTTCAAATCCAGACTCAGACTTAAACTCTTGACAGGCATGGTGATGTGTGATGTACATCTCTGTATTTGGGAGCTGGAAGTGGGAGGATCAGGAGTTCAAGGCCATCTGTAGTCTACCTGAGGATTGGAGGCCAGCTTGGAGTATGTGAGAACCCCATCTCAAAAAAAAGGGTAGTGGGGGCGTACAGAAAGCCTTTGACAGACAGAATTTAAGAAAGATGAGCCATGATTCATTTTGTGGGACATGGGATGCTCCATTTAATTACCACTTATTGGGCTATCTATGCCTTAAGTGGTTTATAAATTGATGTTACTTAATCACAAACCCATGAGGTAGCTATAGACCATTTCTTTTTAAGATGACAAGTAAGAAGCAGCTCCAGTTTTTGAAGGACACTATTTTGCTACAAGGAAGGAGGGTAAGATTTGATTGGACAACTCTGATCCTACTTGCAAGTCTACTGCTTTCTTGCTTAAGTCTGAGTGTGGAAAGATACATCCAAAACTGAAACCACTTCTAACTTCACTGGTTTTCTCAGGATAGAATATAATTGTCCCATTTTATAACCAGAGTTGTACAGAGAGCTTGGTGCTGACACCCAGCTGGAGGGGCAGATCCATGGTTAAAATGTAATTCTGTCCTCTAACAGCCATGGCCATTCCACACTCTACCACTGTGTCTTTCAAACTTTTGTTCTTTGTCATGCCTTGTCTAATTTGTACCACTAATGTATTCTTGACACTGTGTTTGGAATTTTATGTTTTGAAATAATTTATAACATTTACTCAAATGGAATTTTATGTTTTGAAATAATTTATAACATTTACTCAAAATACCTATATTTCTGAAAAATCTCAAATTAGTGAGTAAACTAGTAGATATGAGAAAGAGCTAGATGTATTCTTTATTTTTCTTCTTTAAAATAGATTATAAAGCCTTTAAAGATATTAAGCAATGACAATGAGAGAGTAGGTATTTGGAACATTAACACTGGCTATGTCAGAATGTAGTCTGGCACACGTTTCTGAGATAAACTACTGACAGTGTGATAGCTCATGATGGAAGATTCAGAGTATCAGGTGCTAGCCTCCAATAGTCTAGTAATTACCCATGACTCTGAATAATTGATTGGGATACCTCACTCCATCGTTCCCTCTCCTCCCCACATCCCTAGAAGAGGAACTTGGACTTGTACAGCTCTGCAGTTCAATTTGTTTTCCTTCTTTTGCAAGCAGAGAGCTCATATGCACACCAGGACTTTGAGTTTCTTCAATGACAGAGTGACGTTAGGCTCTTTGGAATGAGATAGTCAAAGGCTGCTCCTCTAATCATACTCCAAGTGACGAAAGGTCATCACCATAGTAGATAAACCATGTGTACAGATGGAGTTCATGGAAGATCAATGTCCCCAGTAAATGACATTTACTTTGGAGGTGACTAAAGCAGGGAGGCAAACAGCAGACCCATATAACAATATATGACAATATAACACAAAGTGAGTCACATTTTGATTCATCCAGAGATCTTTAAAAGCTACTGTGCATAGGCATTGGGTCTAGTGGACTATCAACTAGATTTAACTCACAATATTTTTGTTCACATTATATATACTTATATATAAGTATATATTAAGAAAAAAATATATTAAATATATAAATGTTTGGATTTTTCCTTTAAAATATTTCTGAAGTTAATGCCTGCCTGTGTTTGCTATCTATTGCTGTGATAAAACACTCTGACCAAAAACAACTTGGGGAGGAAAGGGTTGATTTGACTTACATGTCTTAATCACGGTTCACCCTTGAAGAAAGAAAGGCAGGCACTCATGGCAGGAACCTGGCGGCAAATGCTGAAGCAGAGACCCGGGAAGAATACTGCTTACTGGCTTGCTCCCTTTAGCCTGTGCTCAGCCTGCTTTCTTATACAGTCTAGGACCACCTGTATAAAAGTAGCACCACCTACCATGGGCTGGACCCTCCCACATCAATTAACAATTAAGAAAATGTTTTGCAGACATAGCCACAGTCCAGTCTGATGTAGGCAATGCCTCAACTGAGACTCCCTCTTCTCATGTGTGCCAAGCTGATAATTGAAGTTATCTAGCACAATGTCAGTTGATCACTTAGTTTCCCAAACTAATTGATACAAAGTGAAACTTTTCCCTTTTGTAAATTGAAATCATTTTACTCAAAATAAATATTTTCTATAAATTTTACAACAGTTGAATCACTTTTCAGTTTTTAATCTATGAAGAAATTACCAATTATTGCTTTAACAACCAATATGAGGAGGTTGGGGGAAAAGACTGCAGAGCTATTACCTTAATTAAACACTATTTTCACAGATTACATTTTACATATTTCAACCTTCCCAGTTATAGACTTTACCCCTTACGATGACCTTTACCCATTTTATTCTAAGATTTATACCAGTACAAGTCATTATGAAGTAGATAAGTGACTGATAATGTGTTTTTTTCCTGGACAAATCTATGAAGCAGTAGGATTAAGTTCCCTCTAAGACTCCTCTGTTTCTCAGAACTGATATTATTAACCCATCTTTTCTTGGTGCTTCTGATTATCTTGCATGTTATATACTAAGACTTTTTATTATCACAGAACTAGGAGGAAAGAACACCATCAAATGACGTAGACAAAAATGCCTTGGGTTTTCTATTGTGGTTGTAAAGTGAATAAACGCAAAAGTTTAGGACCAGTTTCTCTTATAACCCACAAAAGTCCATCTTACTTCCTCATTGAGAACCTGTAGCTTGCCAAGCAGTACTCTAAAGATATTGTTTCATTTTATTTTATATGTATGAGTGTTTTGCCTATATGTATAGAAGTGCACCCCTGGCATGCAATGCCTGTGGAGGCCAGAAGAGGGCATGGTATCCCCTGGAACTGGAGTTATAGACAGTTAATTGCAATGTGGGTGCTGGGAACTGAACCTGGGTCCTCTGCAAGAGCAGCCAGTGCTCTTAAACCACTGAGACATCTCTCCAGCCCCCAAAGTAGTACTCTAAATACTAGGACTAGAGTGATGAACTAATAGGGTATCTTTCCATTATGGTGTTTACCTTTTAGTACAGAAATTCACATAATCAATAATTCCTGATGGTGATATGGGATAATATGTGAGATAACAGGATTGAGAACAATTGGGTGATAGAATTTCTTTTAGATGATAGTCAGAAAACCTCTATTGGAGATGAGATGGTTTGAGATCAAATTTGAGCCATGAGAACAAATTCGCTTAAATCTACATGGCTGAACAGATTTAAGAATCTGAGCAGTGGAGCTGGAGAGGTGACTGAGGGGTTAGGAGCACTTGCTGCTCTTCCAGAGGATCTGGGTTTGATTCCCAGCACCCACACAGTGGCTCCATTTCCCTCTTCTGGCCTTCACAGGGACTAGACACACACCAGTAATCATATCAGCAATCAAAACACTTGTACAAATAAATCTTTTTTTAAAAATCTGAGAAGTTTGTATACCAATTAAAAATTAAAATATAAAAGTCGAATCTTAAAAGTAACTCTGTTCCACACTATTTTATTGATAGTATATATCATAATTTTTTAATTTTATTATTCTTATTGTATGTGTATGAGTATATATACATAATATACATCATAATTTTTTAAAAATTGAGTACAATCCCAAGATACATGTACATTTGTTTGTTTATAAATAATGTGTAAGTTACTTATTGCTACAGCAATGATGCAGCACAAACCAGACTAACACTCAGTAACTTAAAACATCAAGCATTCATTTAACGCATGAGTATAAAAGTGATCAATTTGAATCAGGCATGGTGGCCCTCACCTTTAATCCCAGCCCTTGGGAGGCGGACAGATCTCTGTGGTTCCAGGCCAGTCTGATCTATATAGCAAGTTCCAGAGCTACACAGTGAGACCCCATTTTTAAAAAAGAAAAAGTGAGCAACTTTGTCTGTTTGAACTAGAACGCTCTTCTCATTTGGTATCATTCATTCTCATGTCTGATAGTCAGCTGGATAAAAGATGGTAAGATGGGAAGAATGGATACATGTTCCTCATATTTCAATAGGCATGTCTCCATGGCTGTGGCAAAGGTCAAGAAGGAGAACACAAGTGTCACTCTGCAGGCACTGCACCATAACACTTCAGTTTATATTTGTTCAACTTGTTGAAGTGTTGATAATCAGGTCAATGAAAAGCAGGTTACATGGCCACACTCAGGCAAATGGTAGGTCAGGTCAGCCCTGGATAGCAAAGCACTGTGAAGATGTATAGAAAAGACTTTGACTACAGGGAGAGAGAATAAGTTGGGTCCACTAACACAATCATTATACTGTAGTAATAAATTACTGCTCAAATATATCATACCCATCAAAAAACATACATTCACACATTGAAAATTTCAAGGTGAGATAAAGGGAAACATGGCTGATAGTTTCCTGTGCTACTCCAGAGCTATATCCTTGTACCTCACCCTAGACACAGATTCTCCAAGCCATTCTCTTGCGTATTGTTAATATGTTACCAGAATTTAGAGGACAACTCCAAATCTGGCTGTTTTTTTTTAATAATCTTCACTCTCTCTAATGCCAAGGATCCTTCAACCTTCTGTAATTCAGCTCAAGGTTTTAAGAGGAATACAGCCATTTTCGTTACTATGAATTCTACATCTGCAAAACAAATCCCTCATGAACCCTTACATCTGCAGCTGCTTATGAACTAGGATGTAAAATAGAGCCTTCTTATCTGTGAAATGGAGGTTATTTGTGAAC